ATAATACAAGCGCAAGTGGAACAGTTAAAGCAATGTCATCACATATACTTTATCAAACCTTTGGCACACAATGCAACATTGGGGGCCATAAAGCAGTGTGGTTATGGTATCATGTCATGATGTTAAGATCACATAATTTTATTTAATATAATTGTTAAAAATAATTATAATTAATAAAATAATTAATATTTATTATTTAATAAATTAAAAAATAATTTGTAAATTGATATATACAAACATCATAAGCGACTGTTTAAAAAAAAATACAAATTGATAAACTAACGATTAAATTAAACAATATTTATGTGATTTTAACAAAATAGTGTGTGACCATAACTACAAGTCTATAAGGCACCAATAAGTCAATGACAGAAAAAAATAGTCCCTTCCTCTTCCTCCCTAGCAAAACAAAAGGCATTCTCAAGATCAAGAGTTTTCAAATGAAATCAAACAAATAGTGTTACAATAAGGATAATGATTAGTAAACTTTTTAATTTAACATATCTTATGACACTCAACTGTTCAACTATTAAAATATGTGAGTTTTAGTTTTTTTAATTTTAATTTTAATTTAAAAATAATAATTTTTTAATAAATATGTTATAAAATATATTAAATTAAAGAATATACCAATAATTTTTCATAGTGTCATAATACATTCCTAGGTGGGTATAAAGTTATGGTTCATATATAAAGCACCTCTTTTCTTTTGTCAAGCATATCCAAGGTTTTGTTACATTGTAAAGCTATATGATTCGCAATATAGTATCTCAAAGTAATGGACCATGTATATTTCCCTTTCTTCTGTACATGGAATTTTGTATTTCATTTGAAAATATGTGCAATACATAATTCATTGATTTGGATTCCAGGAAATAGAAAGAAGTTCTTTCTTTTTGCAGAAAATACAAATATGACTTATGTTTATTCTTTGGTCAAATTAAAAAAAAATGAACAAAATTGAAAATTTCATTTGAGAGACTAGAAATTAAGAGGAATTAAGGTCTAGTATTTTTTTCAAAATTAAGCAGGGAATTAGGAATAGTATAATGAAAAAGTGTAGAGTGTTTCACAATTTGGATTATAAAATATTAATTGTTACTTCATATGTCTTAAAATAATTATTGTTTTTCATTTTGAATTTATTTTTAATTAATTTTTGTTTTTTATTTTAACTTGATCACTATCTATTTATTTTAATTAACTATTTAATTACAAAATTTTTTATTTTTTATTTTTTATTTTTTTAAAGTATTATAAATAAAATACTAATATTATTTTTAAATTTTTAATTTTAAAAAATAAAAATAAAAATTATTTTTATTTTTTAAAAAAAAGTCAACTAATATTAGAAGAGGCCTTTGAATTAATAGTCGTGTTTTACAGTCGGAATGCTAAGACATAAAACTCATCATGTAATATATACACGGACAGGGTAGTTGGTTGGCCTCTTAAGCTTGGAAGGTGCGTCCTCCAGACTCTCGGCTGCCTTCCCATCCACCCACCTCCACACCCACCCCCAACTCACCCCACCCCACCGTCCCATCAACCCCCATTTTTTAGTACAAACAGTGAGGATTGATTATTCCTATTTTTCCTTAAAACTCACGGTAGAAAGTTTATAAAACTTAATTACTCTTCATCTCTAACTTCTTAAATAAGTTTTTGCCTATGCAGTTGAAAAAAAATTATTATGTATAAGTATATAGGTTTACAAGTAAATTCTTTTTCTCATTAATCCAAACAAAAAGGTATTATATAATTTTATCTGATATAAATTATATAATTATAATTGTTAATTAAAAAATTAAATATTTTTAAATGTAAAGTTTTTCCCTCCAAATTTAATGATAAATTTATTGTAATCTAAGTCAAGCCAAATTGCAGAACCACATTCTGTAACCCAAAACAAGAAATGTACAATCACAATCTCTTTCAGCATACATGGCGCAGTTTCATATTCTCATTAAATTGAAAAAAAAAATCTGTCTTATTAGCTGGGGCTGGAATGAAAAGTATTGAGTAATTTTTTTAAGTAAAATAGAAGATAAAGGTCAAAAGCTTTTGTTAGTCTTATCTTTTTATAAGAATAAAATAAAATTAAAAACAATTGTGATCTATGGGAGGTGAGGAAAGATAGGGGGAGAGTGGTTGGGTTTTTGTTTTCATCCTAAAAAGGCGGACATGACATAAGCAAAGGACCCAGGTATAAAGGTGTAAAGGCATGTGGGTTGGAAAAGAAAAGGCCAACCTGCCTTTTTCTTTTTTTTTCTTTCATTCTTCCCCTGCTTTTTCTGCATCAAGACAAAACAAGTGGAGCTTTCTCTGTGATAAAGTATATACTTTGAGTTGGACCACAACTTATAAAATAAGATAAAAGTTACTTTGCTTTTTGGTAACATTACCTTATCTCTCTCTCTCTCCCATCTTCTAATTTTCCGCAAGACCCCTTAAAAGATCATCATATTTCTTTGTTCCTACTTCATTTTTCCTTTTGGGCATTAGAAAAAGGTTCTCTTTTGATTAAAATGGATTCTATACTATAAGATTACATCCTTATTATGTGTACCCATATTCCCATCAAGTGAGATTGAATTACCAATTGAATATCTTGCCCTATGTGGTAAAGAATGGTCGGGATTTAGGTAAACATCTTAACTTTGAACAATATACGTAGTTTTTACTAATGTATGATGCCTTCACCTCCCCAAAATAAAAAAGGGTGGTGAATTTCCAATTTTCATTTTAGAAGGTTATTGTCTTTTCTTTCTTCAATTAAGTTGTATAAAGAGATCCTTTCATATATTTTTGTCATCTCATATGTATATTATATAACTAAAGTTTTTAATTTTTTACTTATTTACAAAAAAAAAAAAATTACTGAATGGCAAGAAAAAAATACTATTAAAATCACTTGTTCATTAGTTGATTGAAAAGGTTATTTTCAAAACATTAATATGTTGAAAATACCTAATTCATGATTGATTTGTTGACGCAAATCAAAATTTTGTAGTTGAAGATGGTAAATTAGGGTGGAGAGGGGTGTGCTAACAAAAAATGAGAACTAACACGTGTTTGCTGTTGGTTGAAAGTATGCCTTTATCTATGTTAGCTTAGTTCCTACTTACCCCCACCACTTCTCTTGCTCACATTGAAATGAAAATGAAATTCCATTGCATTTCACTTGAATTCTTCATTAGCAACAGCAAATGACTCGAAAAATTCAAACCAATTTTCAATGCTCTTAGAACGAAGTTAGAAAAACCCTTATACCCAACAAAAGGAAATGGGACAATGAACAGGGTTCATTTACTTATCAGATTGCAAGGATCATATTTCTATTTTATGCAAGTGATTGAATGAGAACACATGCAAGGTTTCAATGAGGACATATAAGCTCTTGTCGTGAAGCATTTTTGCATCATATTTGCCTCTTGGTCCACAATCAGAAGGGTCAATTTTGTTGGGTAGGTATATTTAATTTCGCATTTAATTGAGGTCGGTTCATGGGTTGCTTAATTGAATTAAGACTTGGCAGAGGCTATATAGAAATATAAACAGAACCCAATTCTTAATATCGGTAGCAACTTGTTTAAAACATGTTGCCATTTTGAGCAAGCACGCACATTCATCCATGTTTGTTAGATGACCAAAAAGTAATAAATTAAGAAGGCAACTTGGTTTGCTACATACCGTCTTATCTATGGCGTTGCTAAGTGGTGACCGTCTAAAACAACGTCTAGATGAATACAACTTTCCAAAGATAGATATAATTTTTTTTATTAATTAGGACTATATTTTTAAAAGT